TTCTACGATTATGTGTGAATGTAAAAGGGATTATTCTAAATATGGCATCATTCATGCGCATTGCTAATTTGCACATGGGGCTTTTACACCCCACACAACTTAATTGTCAGTCACGTGGGCGTCACGCCTTACACTGTTACAGGTGAGAACAAGACAAGACAAATTTTCACCTTTTGGATCCGCCATTGATCAACGCGAAACTTTACCCGCAGTTTGAAACACGTGTCATCTGTCTTACGAAGAATATTAATTAAATTATGGCACACGAGGTGATTATTATTATTATGATTAGCTCAACGGAACAAAAGGTTCGCACATAAACAAAAGACAGATCGTGACATTTTTAATCAAGAATATTACAATCTAACCAGATTAATATTTAGTATAATAATACATACTTAAATTGAGAGAGAGAGATAGAGAGGGGGGTAACGTCCACTCGACACAAACTGGGTCATTTTGGGACTAACACATGGTTCAATCTTATTTCAATAATACGCTTGCGCGTAAGGGTCTTTAGCAGTGAGAGGAAACCGGAGGACTCGGAGAAAACCCACGAGGTTGGACAGGCGACCCCACTCCTTTTCACGTACAACCGTGGAATCGAAACCCCGCCAATTGACTCAATGACAGACCGTAAGATACAGCACGCACGTGCTAACCATTCGGTCATCCAACCTCCCACTTCCATGGAGATTCGGTGGTTAACTATTGTGTCTGGAGTTTGTCGAAACGTTTAAAAATCACATTAAAGTAATAAAAACATTACTTGACAGTCAACCAACCAGATAATTTATGAATCCGATATAATAGACCCTTTGACCAGTTCGTTCGGCCGTGAATTACGCCATATTTAATTTATGCGAATAAGTTTTTAAACTAAATTAAATCGAAAATGCTATTCACTTTCTCATCTTGAGTTCCTACTGCAACGATAAAGTTTTTGCCATTTGAAGTTTACGTTAGTATTAGTGATTTTAATATCGCAAGATTTATGCTTCTAAAGTAAAGAAGGCAACAATAATTCCAGTACATTTCAATAGATTCCAGACAATTCTTACTTAATAAGTAAATGTGGTAAGTAAAGGAACCCATGACAGTTAGAATTCGATGAAGAGATGGTGGAAACTCTCCTGGTCAGACAAAATGTCCCCTATAGAATACTGCACGGCCGTTTTCATTTTAATTCTGTGTCGTCGGCCACCCCTTTAACCTAATTAATCAGAATTATGAAAATCTAAAAATTATACAGAAACAGTATCTATTATATAGAGTAACAAAACAACGCCTAGCGTTATAACACGATGTCGATGATATCCAGACGGAATTAGTTGACGACAATAGTAAGTAATAATTAAATCGAAAAGCATGTAATCGCATAAACTTTACTCTAATAATCCCTAACGATATTGTTCTTTTATCTTTCAAATATCATTTATTTGTGTTATAAAGGTATTCTCTCTTCTTGATGTCCTAATACCGTATTAGGATTAAGCACTGTGTTTCATAACCTGGGGGTGGGGATTGGATGGTCGAAGGGTTAGGAAGTGCGCGCTGTATCATAAGGTCTGCCATTGAGTCAGTGGTTTCGATTCCCTGGTTGTACGTGACAAGGTGTAGAGTCGCCTGTCCAACCTCATGCATTTACTCCCGGTACTCCGGTTTCCTCCCACTGCTAAAAACCCAAATGCGCAAGCGAATTATTGAAATAAAAAATTGAACCACATAACTTGGGGGTTCGTAAAGTCAAAGGGCCAGGGGGTAAGCGGGTCCTAAAGAGAAGTATAATTCAGAATAAAAATATTTGGTATTCAGACAATGAATGTCAGTAGCTGTTACAAAAGTCACATGTATAGGAATGAAGTTTAGCCATGGGTTGATGTACGATGTTTTGATCAGAATGGCTTTTATTTTATGTTCACCCAAGTTAGAGGATTTCCAAGGATTTAAGTGAAAAGTGGTGTCATGTTCCTTAGGTCCTGACGACTGTTATATAAGAAATCTGACTGAACAGGGGTACATGGAGATGGCGTGGAAGTGGGCGGAGGGAGGGTGGTCTTCGGATTTGGCAGTGGTATAATGCTATGAACCACTGCGCTAGTAGATTCAAAGTTACCTTCCCGTGTATAAACTGGGTGATTTGAAGATATATTTGGACTAAAACATATTCAAACTAATTAATCTAGCAAACATTTGCTTCAAATCCCTCTCAAAACATTGTATTCGAAGGGGAAATACCCCAGGACGTAAACAATCTATTTTAGAAGCCATGTTTGTCATGTAACTTGCATTTGTCGTTACCTGCTGTCTATTTGCTATACATATAGCAAGTAAATTCTTGTATTATCTTCTGCCAATTTCCGCCGTTTAATCGCAGAGGTTTTGTACGTTTAAACCCTTCAATGTTACCACAAGAAATAACAAGCGCTTCCTAAGGAAAGCTGGCAGCCAAAAAGCCGTCGGGTTGCCAGTTAATGATACCCTGACATTTTTACCTAGTGCCTCCCTCATGGGTGTTTTTCAGGGACTCGGGTATTTTTCTAATAAGATTAGGGGTCTCTACTTTCCATATTTGACAAATTTGCCATACCTTTATTGGAAATAACTACCCTTTCAATACTTTTGTGAGAATGTATCTTTAACTAAAATATACTGAAATGAAATGGGGTTTAACGTCCTACTGTTCTGCTCCGACTGCTGGGCTAATGAAGACGGGCATACAGTGTGCTATGAGGGAAATTTTGGCGGGACAGCGGCGCTTATATGGAATTCTAACTGCCAGCTCTTCCAATTTATACACTGTCCCTTGTCAGGCCCTCTGTCCTGCACCAGTCACGATGAACTTTCCCGGCCAACAACCGGATCGAACACGGGACCTTCGGGTTAGCAAGCCAACGTCTTAGCCACTTGGCCACCGCGGCTTATTTAACTTAAAGAATTGAAGGGACATTGTAGTGGATAAAAGCAGACAGTTCGGGGAATTAGAAATCACACGTTATTCTAAAATTCTGAGATAGCAGCAAGATTTTAAGACAAATGGCCCTTGGGAAGGCAAACGTTCTATTATTTATTCTAAATTTCTAAACATAATATTGATTTTTATTTTTATAAAACAGTACATAAGTCGCGGTTGGCGTGAAGTCAGGATTCTGGACCCAGAGTGTTGCGGATTCGAACTCCCGTAAGGGTTGAAACGGGGTTAGATCTTACAACAGAAATGATAACAAAACGAACGTATACAGTCTAAATACTGACTAAACAACTACTAAACCTTGTTCTACGTAGGGGTTTTCGGTGGCCGAATGGTTAATGGTCACCTTTTAACCTCGCTGGGTTACTCCCAATCTGATTACAACACAGATACTATTTCGTTTCTTGTTTTGTAGTTCAAAATTTCGTTTTACTTGTCTTTACTACATTATTTTATGGATGATGTGAGGGATGAGTCAATGAAACGGCTTGTTACGGCGAGCTTTTGGCGTGAGGTGCGCGGAACTGTGTCCGTCATATTTGAAATAAACCAGTCTACAGGGGTCTGTAGGAGTCGTTCTGAAGTGCAGAAACCAGGTGATATTCTCTTCTGAAGGGTAATTTTTATTTATAGGTCCATTTTGGCACCATGGTCACGAAAGAAGAATTTTTTCCGCCATACTTGAAACAATCCTGGTTTCTACTAGTTCTACCGGGATGTTGTGACGCGTTCAGTTTGGAAATCGTTCTGGAGTAGGAGCCCAGGGGTTTATTTGTTCTGAAGTTGTGTTTTATTTACTTTTGGACCATACCCTATCAGCTGAAAAAGGAATCAAAAGTTGTCCGTCATATTTGAAATAAACCTACGTACTCGGGTCACTATAGGGGGCGTTCTGAAGCCATAAGCCAGGGGATTTTTTGTTCTGAAGGGCACCTTAAAGTTTGCCTTAGCAACGTGAACATATGTAGCGAAGATTAAATTTGTCCGCAAAAATTTGAATTAAATCGACTTTTTCCGCGATGTCGGGGATGTACAGCCTATTAAACCCAGGGGATGTACAACTTAAGAATTCCCATTCTGACAATCGGCCGGCGTGGTGCCTCCGTTAGGCATAGTGCCAATTTTGTCCGGAAGTTTAGGAACAACGGTCAACTAGCTCCCCTACTAAAAAGATCTGTATTTTAAACAGATTGGGTTTCTCCGAGTAAGCCGGTTTCCTCCCACTGCCAAAGACCCATACGAGCAAGCGAATTATTGAAATATAATGGACCCATATATTAGTCCCGAAATGGCCTAGTTCGTGTCGAGTGGACGTTAAACCCATCTCTCTCTCTCTCTCTCTCTCTCTCTCAGAAGTGGCACCTGTCGTTAGGAAAACACCGTTGTCCAACGTACAAATCGATACTGAACATTAAAGATATTCTGACATTGCACATTCCGTATGTTAGTCTTTAAAAGTACAGTGTGGACAAGACGTTAAACCCTATTCCATGAACATAAAACTCATTTAATATTTTCCAGAATTAAAGGTGTTAGGGTTTCGATAGAAGGTAAGGTTTTACACATAGGCCACATCTGTTCCCCAATCCATTTCAGATATCATGAATAAAATATTGTTTATAAACATAAATGGCTGTTCAGTGTTAGTAAAAGGGTTTATTTGTCCAAAGTGAGATGCGAATGCGTGAGGGCGGTATCTGTATGTTGATTTGTGATCTAAGCACTTATTTCAGAAATACCATAATATAGATTACAATGTGCGGAATTTGCGTCGAAATTATCACTGTCCTTTCCATTGTCCACCAAACCGTCAGATAGACTTAATCACTGACTATGCAATGTAACTTACCCTACCCAAGCTCGGTAACCCCGGCTAGCAATGGTAGTCTTCCATCTCGGTTTTCTAGATGGTTTGGCTTGGTTTCATGAAGATCCAGTTCTTGTACATAAAAGTACACTGGAAAACGCTTATTGTACTTTTTAGCATGTCCGATCTATTATTTGTGTTAAGTGAACTTCGTCATGCTTAAAAAGTACCGGAATGCAGTAACAGGTCAGTACTCAAATCAAATTGGAAGCGCAGTATGATATTAATGGTTGCAACATCAAAGATGGTCCCCTAGTGTCCTATCAGGGGCGGATAACCAGCGTGTAACACAAATACACCCACATCATCGCGTCGTACCCACGTGAACTGTCAACTTGTCACGAATGGGAGATAAAATGAGAGACCGTGAATGAAATCACTAAGAAGGAATCATCAAGCCGAGGACGGAGATTGCTCTGCTATAAACGATAGAACAAGGTGTAGGGAATATACATCATAGTAAAAAGGTAAGTTATTTTGTAAACGATGTTGAGATAGGATAAAAATCAATTTTAATTTGTTTTTTTTTGTTGTTTTTAATTTAATTAATGAATTTCGGCTAAGTTGTTCGCTTTGAAGATAACGGATATTTTAATTATTTATGTTTAGCCATATAAATTTTCAGTTTAACATTACGGAAACAATTTTTGTTTGGTTTCATCATTATATGTTATGCTTAATATGCCTGCGAGTACTATAATCGCGGATACTTTACATTGAAACTTATTTTCCTATGATTTACTAGATCTGTTTATGATTCTACAGTTGTGATGAGTATCATTCGCGAGGCAGGGTATGGTCTTATTTTCTGTAATATGATATGGTTTTTTTTCTGATTCTATAGTTAATGGTGATATCACACGCTAGTTCCATAGTTGTCGTGGGTATCGTATGTGGGACAGAATATGATTTATCGTGAGCATGTCACCGGGGTTTTTAAGTTCTAGTTAATTCAGGGATTAAGGCTTCCATTTAATCCATGAGTAGAACCGGATAGAGTTTATTCTATTCAAATATCGACCGTGTGTGGTGGCGGGGATTTGGGGTTTTTTGGGGGGGGAGGGGGGGTTGGGGGGGGGGATTTGTTTTGTTTTTGTTTAATTGACAAACCGGAAAAGACACTTTTTTATGCTTCATTTTTTTAATTACTTCGTACGAGTCAAAATTGTGTCGAATTTTATATATACAATAGCTTGTAGCATGAAGAACGACGGCAAATTAAAGAGGACAAAATTATAAACTTTAATTAGGGATTCATTCAAATATTGGTACTACAGTTTTGTTATCATGAAAAAAGGAAATAAAATGAAATGGGATTTAACGTCCTACTGTTCTGCTCCGACTGGGCTAATGAAGACTGACATACGCCATATAGTGGGCTACAGCCCTCTCGTATTTCGAAGTCCAACTGCCAAGGGGTCTTTTACGTGCACGCCGATGACTACACGGGACCTCGTTTTTTCGTTCCACCCGAACGACTATACAGCTGGCCTTGTCAGGCCCTCCGTCCTGCATCACTGACAAGGGGAAACCACACCGGAAAATCCCGATGAATTTTTCTCGCCTAACACAGGGTTCGAGACCTGGACCGCTAGTAATGGGTCTTACTCACTAGACTCCCTAGTAACGAGTCCTACTCACTGGCCAGCCTAGTAATGAGTCTTACTCACTGAGTACTGACACTAGCGATGGTGTAAAGTTTAACACTGCTTACAGTTTTTAATTGTTCATATGTAATGGTCAAGTCTGAAACTCGTGAATACCGTAAATACAATATTAGTAAATATACTATAATATAATTTTTGTGGGGCATGTAGTGATAGGAAATATAAAATAATAATACAGTAGATTATAATGGTCAGACAACTTAACGTTCCGGACAAACGCGTCAATAATGTTCCACAAATGCTACCCACTACTCTTAGGTTTTCATTTTTGTTAGACACTACTTCCTCCAAATATGGTATGGCGGCCATCGTGGATCTTCAATATTTCTGCAATGCATAAACCTACAACTACCATTTAGGATTGCAATCTTGACCTTCCTCCAATGGGTAGCAATGGGAGTGGGGGGGGGGGGTACTTTTGTTAGGGATGTTCACATCAACTTGCTAACCTGTTTCCATATTCTAATGTACATGGGTCCAGCTGAAGCAGACTGGTATGAAGTTAAAAGGTTGTAACCCGTGCATTGCTAAATACCTTCAAATAATCGCCTGTAACATGTTTCCATACTATATATATATATAATCTTATGCTATTTTTCGGTTGCCTGATTCACTCCATAGACTTTCTTGAAATGAAATGAAGAAAAATGGGGTTTAACGTCCCACTATTCTGCTCCGAACTGGGCTCATGAAGACGGGCATACGCCATAGAGTGTGCTGTGAGGGTAATTTTGCCCGGACAGCGGCAATACGGCCTACTTTTACATTGAATTCCAAATGTCAAGGGATCTTTTACGGGCATGTCAATGTGTACACGGAACCTCGGTTTTTTATCCCATCCTAACGACTAGACAGCTGTACTTGTCAGGCCCTTCGTCCTGCATCACTTACAAGGGGATGGGGCCACGCCGGAAAATCTCCATGAACTTTCTCGGACAACGCAGGGATCGAACACCGGACCTCCAGACTAGCGAGCCAGCGTCTTACCCACTTAGCCGCCGTGATCCCCCATCTAGACTTTCATACAAAATCCTAAATGTTTATGCTAGGGAAATTGATTTGGATCGATTTGTCATGATAAACTAAATTTGAATAGTGTTTCAGTCAAAGCCGCCACGACATGACAGTTATGACCTTCGATCTGTTTAGTTTCACAATGTCTAACTCTATAAAGCACTTTAAGTTATTAAAATCTTTTACACCATCTATTTATCAAACATTGGCATTTTATTAACTTGATTAAATTTTATTTTATGATTGTTTTATGCGTAAATGTGAAGGTATGTGCAAGGATGGTCATATTTATGGGGGATAACTCTCGAATAATTTTGGAGAATTTATATAGACCTTTCCCAGTTGTTCAATGCGGTTTGATTTATTGAATAAAATATTTTTAAATGTAATTCCGGTGTAGCAAGTGAAGAATATCGATATTTTAAAAGCCCGTTTCCCATTTGTCAGGAGTGATGTCTAGTCGTTCGGATGGGACAAAAACCGTGCCCCCTCCCCCGTGTATACACGTAAAAGAACCCTTGACAGTAGGAATTCTGTGAAGAGTGGGTGGATTTAATAATTCTCACCAAATTGCTACTTTGTGTACTATGTGATAAAGAGGTTAAATGGCAATTCACGGTTGATACAAAAACCATTCAATATTTGGAATTCATCATTTAATTTTTGATATTTGTAACATGCAGATGCTAAAAGAGGGAGTACTCTGACATACGCAATATGGTATCAGGCAGCAAACACATTGGCGAAATCACTACTGTGAGTTATAAGTTAGGGGTCCGGTTGGGCCCCTTGTTCCCTTCAAGTGTTGGGGCTGATTTGCATGTAACATAACTCTGCATGTGGGAAGCAGATGAATATCGAACTCTTCGCTACGTGTAAAAATGTATAGGAGACAAAGTCAGTAAATTTCAGAAAGTTGTACCCAGTAGTTATTACAAAACACTATAAAACATGTGCATGGGGTCCACGGAGACCCCACGTGAACCGACAAGGGTTAAAACGCGGGGGAAGGGGTGGCCGAATGGTTAGCACGTGCGCGTTGTATCATACGGTCTGTCATTGAGTCAACTGGCGTGGTTTCGATTCCCCGTTTGTACGTGACAAGAAGTAGGGTCGCCTGTCTAACCCCGTGGGTTTTCGCCGGGTCATCCGGTTTCCCCCAACTGCTTAAGACCCCTACGCGCAAGCGAATTATCTCTCTCTCTCTCTTTCTCTCTCATTAAAACGCAATTATCTCTCTCTCATTAAAACGCAATTCTCTCTCTCTCTCTCATTAAAACGCAATTATCTCTCTCTCATTAAAACGCAATTCTCTCTCTCTCTCTCATTAAAACGCAATTATATCTCTCTCATTAAAACGCAATTCTCTCTCTCTCTCTCATTAAAACGCAATTCTCTCTCTCTCATTAAAACGCAATTCCTTTTCTGTCTAATATATTTTAGACGATAAAATCCTTGCTGCGGAAATTGAGTTTAAGTGATTACGTAATTTTAGATTTTGGAGAGTATATAAATATATAAATATGGACACATCATATAATGAATTGTATGATCATATTTAGAACAGCAATATGATCATCTGGACGAGGCTTAGATCTTGATTCACTTAAATAAACAATACAATAACAACAATATATTTTACCCATATTCAAGGTAATATTGACTCGCATAAATTGTCAAGTTCTACCTACTTGATTCATCCCGCTGGAATTCATTTTTTTTATTGTTGTCCAGGGCCCTGTTTCTCGAAATTTTAACTAAAGATAAAATCCAAATTTTAGTAGATACTTCAATTTTGATTGGCTAAGCACCAAAATCAATCTAATACTATCCAATCAAATTTACTCAAATTTGGATTTTATCTTAGTTAAAATTTCGTGAAACAGGCTCCAGAGATTTCAGCTGGTTTGTAATAAGAAATGTTTGAATTGGCAAAATTATCGAAAAGCTTGTTTCCATAATTTACAATCGTGTATTCAAATATATACTTTCCGCCTGAGATATTTCAATCAGGCTCACGACAGAAATCCATTAATATTTCTCGAGAGCTTAGAATTAAGGGAAGTCAATTAAATATAAATTATTGTTTAAATAATGGACTTGTGACAATAATAAAGACATTAGCTCCGTTAGCATAAAAACTCATGAATTTAAATGCAGCTCATTAATTTTAATTTAAAATTTAAAGTCAAATAATATGGGTTATAAGGATAATATGGGTTATGAGGGGAATATGGATAATATGGCTAATATGGGTGATATATATGTACATTATCAGTAAAAAAAAATAAATAATTTAAATACAACTTATTAATCTTATTTTAAAATTTAAAGGAGCTAAATCGCTAACATTTGGGACCTAGAAATTTACAAAAGTGGGTCGCAACGCATATAATACTGTAATATGAATGTATATAAACTGATTTACATTTAATGGTTTCCGTTTTTACTCCAATTTCAAATCAGTTATGTTCGGCGAAATAAGTCAGCAATCTCAATCGCGTGCAAATTTCTAGCGTCTAGTTATTCTAGTCTACATAACTCCATTTGATTTAGTTCAATGTGTCTAGCCTCGTCCCTCGAGTCTCTCAATACACCTTGGGCTGAAGCGCATTATGGTACACGATTCGTGTACCAATGTTAAAAAATTATTTTTTCTTAAATATCGGATATCAGAAGCTCATCTTTTCCCGGTAAGTTTACATCATCAATGTTGATTTAAATTGACCAATAATTCGTGTTTTCGATGTCGAAGATTTTGGAGGATTTTGAGTTACGGACTTAGG